AAGAGCCTTGGAGTACAGCCTTTGCTTCTCCAGATTGAGAAGTCACAGCTGCGATGGCTTGGGCATGTGTAGCGAAAGCCTCCAGAAAGGAAGGCTAAGCAACCGTTTCTTGCAAATCTCACGGGCAGAAGGCCCAAGGGACGGCCAAAATTAACATGGTGCAAACATATGGAAGGAGTCTGCTTCAGACTCCATTTGTCTTTTGCCGAAGCTCAGAGACTCTGGCACAGGATCAGTAACCTTGGAAGCTGTCTGACGCGTCTACCTCCGTGACCAGAAAGGAGAGGAGGTCATGGAAGATGAAGATGATTCCGTAAAATCTTCATAACATTCAATGCGGAATAAGAATTCTTTCTGATTTCCACATTCCTACTGTTAAATATATAGCCGATCTTATAGCTTTTAAGAAGTTCCGTTACTACGGAACACAGCGAGAATCTGCAACCGCACCAACAAAGGACACTAAGAAACCAATGTCACCATGCCCAAGAGTAAAGAGAAATTTCTCGGTACCATGAGCATGCATATTGCTCAAATAAAACCTACGTTAGTACCACAAACAAGTTGTTTGAGCCAGAAGTGATGATGTTGCATATTCACGCGCCACAAGTGTTCAGATACCTAGGTCAGTTTAACTCCTCTTCAAAAAGCTTCCAGAAGCAAGGGAAAAATGCAACTTTGCCCTGTAACAAAATATGATGTCCCATATGCATAATTATCTATTGTGCATTATTGGTTCAACCAACTATAAGTTATTTTCAACCGAAGATCCTATTTCAAAATGGTCCTTTCATTCCTGCTTCAGGAATTTTGCATTTTATAGTTGACAAATGAGGTAATCTCGCAGACCGTAATGACGATTAGCAGTGAATGACGATAATTTCGATTTTAAGCCTATTTTAAATTTACATTTATACATGTACTAATTTTAAGCTATCAGGTGGGTCAAGGCGATCAGCAGCCGGAAAGCGCAAGCATCCGGAAGCATGGACGTATATTTCGTACGCTTTGACATGACTGGGCTTAAACACCATATTGCCCATATAATTTTTAAGTCAGCGTCCTGCTACCCGTTTTACGGGTGATTGCACAGAAGCAAAATGGAGCGAATTTCTTGTTCAAGGGAACTAGCAGCTAACAGAAGAAAATTTACGCAACAAGCAAGCTTTGAACCCGGCCCTTCTAAATTGCGAAGCGAACTACAGGCGAAATAGAGAGTAACAACTCCTTGCTAATAGAAAAGCATGTTTTTGCGCAACTGTTTTAACAGGTTGCAACAAATATTTTCACGCTTGCCCTTTTCTAATAGAACCCATATTAAGTAACCCAAAAATGCTGCGCAGATGGGTTTTTTAGTGTCAACTGCAAGAATTTAATGGTCTTTACGTTTGAAGCTTCGCAGCTCCTTCCAAACATCATAAAATTCAGTTTTTTGCTTTCTTATGTCTGAACAGAGTCTGGCTAGTTTGACATATTGTAGTAATCTTCCTTCTTCGTGTGCCATTTCTTGTGCATGTAACGCTAATCCTCGCATGTCGGAAACCCTAAGAAGGCTGTCATCGTCTTCCCAACCAAAGTGCTGTGAGCCAGTAGATATGCAGCCATCCTTAGGTAGGGTACCATCAATAATGACGATGTTACAAAAGAATCTTAACCTTAATCACCAAAATGCTGACTACCTTACGATCAACCTGCTACAAGTCAAAAAATCTTAATTCGACCCTCAATAACCAATATCTTAACCTTACGCTAACCAAAGGTGAATATAACAAATGATTCATGCAACAACTTACTGAAGTTTCGTCGTTCAAGATAGAAAGTTCAGAGGTCGTAACTTCCATTTCTTTCTTAACGCCGCAGTTAGGATTTAACCGCTTTGAATAATCCGGCGCAGTTCCTTAATAAACTGATTATTTAAAAAATATCACAAAAATATTTAATTCAAAAAGACATTACTAGTGCACAATTCGCGTTTAACCCAGAAATAAAGCATCAGTGCATACAATTCACAAGGCAAAAAAATACACTTCATCAGCCGATCTTTCATGTTGCTCGATTTTTCTCGTTTTTCACTTCAACTGACGAAATGATCCTGTTTGCAATCAAATCCCATCACACGTTCTCATCATGAAGAGCATAATCAAATACCAGAATATCACAACCCATGCCAGATTTAAATACGGTGGCAAGTATTTCAAGTGCTACTGTATAAAACGAAGGTTTCCCCATAAGCATTGTTTAATAATCACTACTCCCAGCGGTACATGAAAGAATCGATGTGCCAATCAAAGCTTGCTTCTGACTATTGCTGCGTTAAACTGATCTGGCAGGCTATCTCATCTCCATGTCATGATGAAGAGAGCGATGACAGAACTCGACTAAGAAGACACGAATTTCTAGCGACAATCTCACGGCCTGACCAAACTAAGTAGACGGAAAATGACGGCAATATAGATGATAGAAGGCAATTCTGCAATTTAAGCGAAAGCAGCATCTGTGATTAATACTCACGCCATCAGATGTCGACGAATTACCTACGCCTCTTCAAACTGAAAGTCTGACAACTAATGACACGTACCTACTGCAGTATTCAGGTGTATTACAGAGAGAGCAATATCGACAACAAGACGCTTTGTGAAACGACAAGCGAAACAACGATAACCGCATAGGCAATGAAACCGACGTGGCACAATGCTCTAGGTCAGCAATGCTTGATGAGTCTCCACGACAGCAGATGGGTTTTCACACTTTCTGCCGTATGACCAGCCATTTTATATTGGCAACTGGTGAACCACTCTCAGATTGCATAATCTTCATCTTCTGCCAAAAAGTCTTAAGGTCCAGGTGAATCGAGATATTGCCAAAAGAATGGCGGAGAAGAAAAGCATTTGCTAGTAGACTGATACCGTACATGCAGTCCATCCATAAAATAGTGCAGAGACTGATACAGCAAAGCTGTATGCATTCAAGAATCCAGTAAATTATTTAGCGGAAAAGTGAAGTAGCAAGCATGCAATACTGTTTCACTCCCAACAATGTGGAAAACCATTCTGAGTGAGGTTAGATGATCTGAGTATGTGCATCTCTGCCGTTGTGCAAATCGCATAGCACTGAGTAGCAGGTACTGAAGCCAGTGTCTCTGAGACCAAAAAAACAAAGCCAGGCGATCCAACACTGTCAGAAGTACACTCGATTCGAAGTGTTGCATTCTTGGTTCATAGGTGAACACTGATGAGCGTTGCGACACATGAGAAGGAAAGAAAGGAAAAGAAAGTTTGTAACCGACGGTATATTTCTCGTGGACAGATCCACTCTGAAAACACGAGGAGATCCATCACATCCTTGTCGCCACTGCTTCAGGGTGCATTACATGCCTCGAAGATTACTGTAACTAATAAAAGCGTACACATGACAGCACTACAATCTAATTTCATAATTTTCCTACTACGCGCTCTCCATGATGTAGAGAACCATTGCCAGATGAATCTACGTAGACTGCTTCCAGTTCCTCGTGATTAGTTTAACAAAGCTAGTTATCCAGGGGTTAAAAGAATTCTACATACTTTCATTATTAATGCGTCGAAGGGAAAACACAGCGGCTAATAATGCACATGGAAGAACTGGGAGGATAACATACTAGTCACCGGGAAGAACCAGACTTAGGCACTGTTACTAGCTTCGGACATTGACTTGATTGACCGAATTTATAGTATCTTATTCGTGCTTTGATATTATACCAAATAATACCACAACATGGACAAAAACCATTCAATTACACACAATGAAAAGAGCTCAGTCTGTCGGATGACGAACGATTTGGTCTGACGTTGATTGTAGCAGCTAATTTTCATCGAGCTGTAAGGGAACTTCTGATTCATAACGATGCTTTAATAATTTTATGGCCAAGTGGCTTATCCAGAGTTTGTATCCTGTCACTGCTGACATTTTTTGCAAGACTGAAAGATTAATGCTCTCCTGAAACCAATGTTTCGTCAAGCTCTTTCGTTGAGGATGTCAGCGTACTATCACCATCGAATGGAAAAAACCTTCTTTATAGCATTATTTTCAGCGTTTTTTATGTCAGAGTTAGACATGATGGGGAAACACTCTGCTTCGCTTCCGAAAAGCTTCCATTGAACAAGTCGCATGCATTAGTCTATGATAATCCATCTATTTCAGATGAACACATAGGCTTCTGCATATTGTGCGACGATGTTCCATGCCTCTCCGATTTAATACCTCTCACAGCCACATAATACGCAAATTAGAACTTAACGCTAACAAGCGATCGGCCACTTTACGTTCGAAAAAGCCCAAAACATAGGAGTAAAAACATCGACAGTAGTCTACAACGTGAGAGGTAGGTTTACTCTTTTACTGTTTTTATGATGCTGAATTAACCGGACTATCATATATAAAGTAAACATACGAAATCATAACCGTTATCGACCGTTTGCAATGGCTCAGAACCACTTACGTTTTGGCTGTGAATATAGCGTTTTAACAAACATGTTCCACCAGTGACTGCGGATTTTAGAAACAACGGGCACCTGAACACACTTAGAGCACCCTTCGCAGGGTTCCACATAACTCAGCTTCAACTTTCTACTTGGATGTCGCTCCTTAAGTAAAAAACCAAAGGAAGTTCAAAACAAAAATAACACCCGCTTTATACGATACCTTTTTCAGGGCATACATCAGACAAGCAACCCTTTCTTTGAAACGACCCAAGTACCACCACTTTCTACGGCGAACCTCCGCATCCACGAAAGGGCCGGAATAAATATGGTGCAAAGCGACGGTAAATAGCTGTTTATTCACCTAGAAACGATGCAAGCGACTGATGATTAAGCCCGTCACCACAGTTTGTCGACTCACGTTTGCTGTCATCACGTTCAGATCCATTAGCTTGCCGCGCATAATCGATATTGCGCTTTCACAGCACCATCTGAAAACAAATGAACAACGCAAAGTCACTGCTTAATTAGCACAGAACAGAATAAAGATAATGAAGATAAGAAAAGAATTCAACATGACGTAAAGCAACTGGCATGTATCCGCTATTTGACCTGTCCTCGTTATGGGCACGTAATGAATGCAAACGGACGCTTCTCTAGCATTCTGTGTTGCTCGCTTTCAGCCTCTATCGCTAGCCAAGTAAGTTAACCATAAGGTCGTCCCAGCATATGGTTGGAGACTGAGTGGACGTCGGTAGTTCAGCGAAACCCAGTTTGTAATTCTTGAAGACTATCGGTTTTGTTTCAGGCGAGCTACACGGTCCATCCATCTTCTCTTGGCGTTGTAGAAGGCAGAAATCACGTCCGACAATCAGTCGGTTCAGAACGTGATCTAAGGCGATTACACGGCACATTTTTCGCTCCATCACTCTTTCAGTAACCATGAGCTGGTTTTCTCGATCTTAGTAGCAGACTAGCGTTCAGTGGCATAGATCATTGACAGTAGGAAGGCTGAATAGAACTATTCTTTCTTTGTTTCACCTACGTGGACAGCGATCTCTCGAGTAGCAATGCTTTAATATGATTAAAGCTGACTCGTGCCGCCTTCCTTCTTCTGCTGATTTTGCCTTTCAGCCAGCTAATGCGGTTTACCTGACGGCTGAGGTATACACAGCATATGACTTTTTCGACTTATTCACCATTCGCGCAGAGACAGCACTTAGGGCATCCTCGTTCCTCATCCATTTCTCCTTGGAGAGGTTAAACTCCAATCCAACTGTAAGAGAGTCTTCTTGCAACCGCTGGATCTTCCGTTCGAGCTAAATGGTGCCTGGTGCGAAGACAATGCAGTCGTTCGCAAATAATAAGTGTTTATCTTGTCTCCGTCAATACTGATACCGCTGCACAAGCTTAACCGATTGAATAGTGACTTCAAGTACCATAAAGCTGTATGACAAATCACTAGTCGAAAGCTCTGCCCTTAGAAAGAGATATTTCTCCGGGTATACCCGGCTGCTGCTGTGGTTCACTATCGACCACAGTTGTTGATCTAGACGACGACGTCCATGCAGTCAAAGTAGAATTCGTCTGAATGATCCTTAACTCACTAATTACCAACAAATTACCAAAGAAACAGAGTGAACACCAACCTTAGCCTTATTGGTAGAAAGATGCAGATTATATTATGGTGAAAATTGTGAGATACAGACCACCAAAAATTCTGTTACAGGTTTATTGTTATAATAAATTCACTGCGCTATTTTTGGCATAATAAACCGTTTGCTTTCCTTCTAACTGGCCATATCCGATCCGTTTTGTAACTCTTAATATTCGAAAAGTCACCATTTTTGTCTAGTAGGTAACTGCTGGTCCAGAACCCGAAAGGAGAAGCGGTCATGGAAGATGAAAATGAAGGTAATTGCTGGTCATGGTCATCACTTCAGTCCTCGTTAGGTTCACTTCAAGAGTAACGTCAAGCTAACAGATACTTGACCAAACAGATTCAGCTTTGTGGAGATGTTGCAACCAACATTAGGCTACTTGTCTACCTAAGTTTATCACGACTTTACACCAATCGGCAATATTGAAATTTATGGCGCATCCTTCTAAAGTTAATAACATACCTGTCTTATGAGCTTTAACGATAGTAAATCCAAAAAATCTTAAACAAGAGAGAATTAAACAGCTAGAATGTAAGCCAATAACATTGAGAACTACGTCTTTTTGGACTCTTCAGACTTCTGACAGTGGAAAGTTGAAGTCCCATGTTTTTAATAGTTTTTCATGTTTTTAGCAATGAACTGAGTCTCTACGTAAAGCTCCATGCTAGCCGGTGAATAGCAGACAAATCTCCGAATGGCAGGGTATAATCAACAATGCAACGCCTGATTGGTGTAAGACGGGACCACAGGAAAAGTCATGAAACTGTTATCCTGTTAAACCAAATGGAAATAGCTGGCGATGAATATGATTGGATGAGTGTCAGACGATTTTATCTGCTAAAGAACATTCGCTCCAGCGGCAATAGTCGAGGAATTCAATCTGAATCATCGATACATCATCTTATCCCATGGCCAGAAGCAAAGAGTGGGTAGAAATACAGTCGTTCAAAGTTCCCAAAAACACAATTATCAATCATGAGCCTTAACAGCGGTAAATCAACATGAACGCATTTTTATTAAAAAACAGCAATACTCCTTAATTAAGTTAAGTATCAGT